GTCGGGCGGGAGCGACCAGTCGCCGACCCACGCTGGGTCCGAGGAGCTAGCGGCGGCCAGGTCGGCTATGGACGGGGGCTCTTCTCCGGCCGCGTTCCATATGCGGGTCTTGCCCGCATGCAATCTGACCCGCGCATGTTCCCACAGGGCGGCGGACAGTGCATCCAGCAAAGGCCGAACACGCTCAGGTTCAGCGACGACGTAGATGTCGTCTAGGAAGGCGAAAACGGCCTCACCCGGGAGAAGCTGGCCCTGGAGTTCGGCCAGCGCAGGGTGCTGCGCGAGGGCGTAGAGCGCTGGCATCAGAGGGTCGCCTTGCTCGCCGCCTTCGCCTTGCTGGATGCGATGGCCGTGCCCGGCATCGTCATACCAAGTGTAGGAGCTGCTCTCGGCGTAAAATTGGCGCGCGTAGGGCAACAAAGGCCGCAGCGCCGGGCGCTCAAGCAGCCCCCGCAGCATGGCTCGACGGGAGACGTGGTCGAATGCCCCAACAGCATCAACCGAAAGGATTGTTGCCCGCGGACTGGCCTCAGTTGCTGCGCGGAGGAGGCAGACGACGGCTTCAGTCCCAGCAGACGTGCGAAGGCCGAATTGGAAGGGCAGGCACGCCTCTTGGAGTTGGGGGCCGAACTGCTGCGCCAGAACCCTCCCGACCAGGCGGCGCAAAACGTCACCAACAACTAGGGCCCGGACACGGCCATTCGGCTTTTGCAACGCGACGACTCTGCCGACGCGCACGGCCGCAAGGACGTCGTCCGGCACCTGCGCACGAGCAAGTAGCTCGGCTGCAGTGTGAAGAAGGCGGCTGTCCTCCTCATCATCAAGCATGATGCGGAGATGCTCATTGGTGGCGCCGCTCGGCCCGGCCGCAGAACCGCGGCGCGCGGACTGGAGACAGGCGACGAAAGCCTGTTGCGGGAAAGCGCACGGCTGGTCGGGCTGAAACCCCAGAACATCAGCATCATGCGGGCCGTATGCCTCGGGAGGGCGGCGGTCGGGGTCTGTGAGCTCGGCCAGGGTGGCCGGGGACCCCTCCGCGAGAGGCTCGGCGGTGAGCGCGCGGCTTGCCGCGGACAACTCGCCAAGTTGGACGAGAGACTCAGCCCGGTGCGCACGGGCCTCGTCAGTGGTGGTCCGCGCGGCGCCCCTGCCGCTGGAACCAACGGCGGCTGTGGCCTGACCAAGTAGTTCCAGCCAATGGCCAGCCTGGAAAAGCTCGCTGCGTCGGTCAAGCTCGGCAGGCGGCACACGGCCGGTTCCAGGCGCACGGTACAGCAGCATGCGGGGCGCAAGCATGAAAAGCTTCCAGCCCCGCACGCGCTCCAGCAGCGAACCCCCGGCCGTGGCGAGGCGCAGGCCAGTTCGCAGCGCAGTCCGCAGTGCGCCGCGCAGGCGTTGGGGCGCAGCCTGCAGCGTCAACGCGCGCTCACGACAGGTCTCTTCCAAGGAGATGTCGTCAAGTGAGGCGAGACCTGCGCGAAGTCCGGCCTCGGCAGCGACGACCCCGCGCTCGCGCTGTGTGCCACCGGTAGGTGCGCATTCCGGCTCAGTCGCAGGCTCAGGCGGGACGGCCGTGCCGCCAGGCTCACGCGGCCGTTGGCCTCGCCCGCGACCTCCACGGCGCCCTCGCCCCCGCGCACGCTCGGCGCCGGCGACACGGCACGCGGCAGCGGCGAGCGGAGCGTCAGCGGCAGCGGGGTCCGGCTCGCTGGTAGGCCGGTCGGCGGCGGGGTCAGCCTGAGCATGTGCGAAGGCGGCGTCCGGGCCAGGCGGGTCAGGAGCGGGTTCGGCAGCAGGCGGCCGCATCGGGCCACGCGCGTCGGGGGGCTGTTGACGGAACGTGTCGGACGCCCGGTCGAGCTGAGCGGCGAGCACCGGGCCCCCGAACAGCTGCAGGCAAACTTCCTGGGCAGCGGCAGCGATGTACCCATCGCACTCAGCAAGTAAGCGCACCGTCCATCCCAGGTGTAGGAGCGTGCTAGACGGCAATGCGGCCGCCTCAGCGAGGAGCCGGGCGGGCAAGGCATCGCCGCGATGAGACGCAGAGGCGATGAGCGCGTCAGTGAGGACGGCGACGGGGACGGGGTGGGAGGCTGCAAGGGCTCGCCGCGCATCTTCCCACCAGGGTGACGCGCGAGGCTCGGCGCGCCAAAGCTCCAAGGCTCGCGCGGAGAGCGCCCCCAGGGCGGCATGCAGTAGGGGAACATACAGCCACGAGTTGGTTGGCGACGCAACAACGCCGGTGGGCGGCAGGCAGTCGAGCCAGTCGGCCGCAGTAGGGCTGTCAGCACGAGGCACAGCCTGCCCTGAGCGGGGTGAGTCAGGTGGGCTCAGTCCCCCAGCCGGTCCGGGGTGCAGCAAGGGATGTGCGCAACCTCCGGGACACTCGAGCCAGGACGCGCGGTTGGACCGATCCAGGACCCATTGAATGCACCCGCCACAGCGGTCGCAGTCCGCCCCTGCGTGGGCGGGCACATGGAGGTCGGAGAAGCTTTCGGATCCGCCACATGCCGGGCAGAGCCACGCCTGGCGCCAGGAGGCAATGCCTTGGCCATGGCGGTCCGCGACCGGGGCCCAGTCCATGTCGCGGTCGGGCAGTGGCAGGAAGTCTATGCCTCCATCCGGGCGCCCGGCGGAGGGCGGGGCTCAGGGGCGTCCTGAGAGGTGAAGGTGCGTAACGCGTAATCCGGCTGAGCAGCGCGCGCCGTGGATTCGCCGGAAAGGCGGGCCGGGATGGGCACAAGATGTCGCGCGCAAACCTCGCGCAGCAGGGCGTCGTGCTGGTCGGACCACGCCTCGGGGCTGCACGAAGGGCAGCGGCCATGCCGACATAGGGGGCACAGCAAGTCCCGCGGCCCGGAAGCCTGGATGCGGAACTGGGCAAGGCAGCCAAGGTGCATGGAGTGGGCAGCGCAGGTCGGAAAGGGCACACATGCGCGCTCGCGAACTCCCACCGGCTCGAGGTCGTCGAGGCACACGCAGCAGACGCGGTCAACGTGGGGGGGCGCGGGGGGCGTGGCGTCGCCCATGCTTGTGGCGTGAGCGTGTGAGTGCACACGTGTGATTGTAGCAACTTCAATTGGTGATTTTTCCCCCTCCCGAGGCGGGTCAGCGGGCAGGCGGCAGCCAGAGCGGCGCGACAGCCTGGGCAAGCAGGTTTGCAAGGAGCACACACCCCGCAGGCGTGATCACTGCAAGGAGGCGCACGCTGAGGCCAGCACACAAGAAATGCAAAAAGAAAAAAGGAGAGCGCCAGGCCAAGGCGTCCAGCCGCGGCGGCCCAAGAGGCGCCAGCGGCCGAACAGGACCTCAGGCTGCAGGCGTTGAGGAAGGGTGCTGTGATGCTTGTTGAGACGCGCCTGTGAGGCCCTGGCCCCGAGTGCGCCGCGGCGGCCTCGGAGGCGCCAGCGGCACACAAACACCCGAAGGCCAGGGGTGGAGCTTTCAGCTTTCGAGGCTGCAACACCCTCGCCGCGGCAGCCCCGTGGTGGTGCCTGCGGCAAGGCTCTGGAAGCCACAGCCAGCAGCAAAAACTTTAAACAAAAACGAGCAGAAGGATCCTCCGAGGGCCGCGCCGGCAATGTCAGGACCTAGGCAGGCTGGGTGGGGGTGGGTGGGAAGGACCGCGCCACCACTGGGGAAGCCTCTGAGGCAGCGGCTGCGTCAGAAAAGGAGACGGACGGTGTTGCGGCCCCTGCCCGAAAGCCCGAAAGGGAGAGGCCGTGGCAGCCCCAAACGGGGAGGCTGCTGCACCTGGGCGCCTGGCAAAAGGGGAGGAGGCGGACGGGGCCGGCGCAGTGGGGGCGGACAGGCGGGACTGGTTTTGCCCGCCGCGGCAACCGCGGTGCGTAGGGCGCCGCCGCCGGCGGGCGGGCTCGAGGCGTGGGCGTGCGGGTGGAGGGGTTGGAGGTCGCCGCCTCGGCGATCTGTGCGGGGAGTTGCTGGCACTCACAGGGCTGGCGCGGGAGCGGCTGCGGGAGCGGGATGCCTCGGTCCGCGCACGCGAGGGGCTGCTGGACCGCGGGCTTGGGGGTGCTGGCGAAGGGTGAATGAGCTCGAGCCCCAATTCACGCACCGCTTGCAGAGCGAGGACAACGTGGCCGTCCACCTCGACTGCTTCGACTTCGACGCCGTCCAGCCGGAGCAACACGCCAACCATGGGAGGACCGGAGCTACTCTACGCCAGGCCTCTCAGCTGCGCACGCTGGCGCCCAGAGACGGCCGGCCGGGCGAGGAAGGAAAGCTATGCGGGAAGCCTCCCAGCTGCGCACCCACGCGCCCAAGGACAGCCCCTGGTGCTTGAACCCCCCCCCCAGTTGCACTTCCAGTGCCCAAGGGCAGGGTGTCACTACAAGGTCCTCTCCAGCTGCACTCCGGTGCCCAGGAGCAAGATCTCACTACGGGCTTCAAGCCTGACGTCTCAGGCACGATTTGAAGCTTGAAGCTCGCAAGCTTGAGCCAAAATGGCTACGGACTCAACTAAACGGAGGCACAGCTGTGTGTCCTCTGTAATATCTGCACACCGCAACTGTGCGGGCTATCTGCCTGATCACACTGCCAGCATCCTTCTCCCATGCCCCAGTACTTTCCAGCACCATTGGCAGGGGAGCCGTGGCATGTTGCAACATAGTTGGCCCGAGGGATGGCTGCGATTGAGCTCGACATATATAGGCGTGACTCCATGCTGAGGCGGCGATGCAACAACAATGATACAACACAGTTCGCCAAACACGTTTGCGCTCACACTGTTCAGGGGCGCCAAAACATTGTTGGCAAAACTAGAGGTGACCATAGGTGCAAGGTCCACAATGCGGTCGGGCGGCCTTTGCATGTGTGGCATGGAATGATCTCCCCAAGAAACTTGGTCCAAGCTGTTTCGAAACAGCTGCATCTCAGAGTTTCCCTCCCCCCGCTGCCATCCGCAGCGAGGCCCGCGGTCTGTGCGGTGGTACTTGCTCAGTGCCCAAGGCAGTGTCGCTGTGATAGTGTCAGGTGGGAGGATGATGAACCCAATGCAAGCGCAGCAGATGATGCAGCAGCAGCAAATGATGCAGCAAATGATGATGCAGCAGCTATGGCCTCAAGAGTGTTTCGATTGCTTCGCTGCACATGCCCGTGCAGTGACGCGATCATCCATGCGTACGAACTCGCAATCAGGATGGGAGGCGGAAATGCTCCCGCAGCTGGCTCTGACAAAGCCAAAGCGGCACCAGCAAGTTGGCGGAGAGTATTCTTTGGTTGGTTCTAACTTCAAAGAACATGGTGCTTCACGTGGGAATTTGAGCTTGGACATTGCACTAAGGCAATGAAAAAGAGAAAAGAAGATGACAAAAGCAACATCGTGTTCGTAGGTGGTTTACGGAAAAGCACGACGGAGGACGGCATCAATGCAAAACGCACAGGCTGGCATTGTTGCGCGATTTGCGTCTCAGGACAAAGTGGCCGGTCACTTCTCGAAGTTCGGACAGGTCGACAGCGCGCTTGCCTTGTCCGACTTCAGATTTGCGGTTTGTGCAGCCCATCGATCTCGTGTTGACTGAGGTAGACATTAAGAGGTTACCTGATGGCACATCTCGGGGCTTTGCCTTTGTCAAGTTTGTGGAGGCACGAAACCTCAGCGTCATTTTGTTTGTTCAATCCTTTTCATCACACAGCCTATCACAGCATAATTCGGTTGCATTCTGTTGCAGTTGTGTGTTGTCGCATGCGATGTGGCACTACTTTGCCGCTGATCTGCTGCTGAAGCTCCAGGACCTTTTTGACCCAAGCAATGTTCTGCCGCGGCCAGGTTGATTCGATTGCCAAAGTTCTAGAAGCCCAGAGTAGTCATATGTTCCTTGGTTGCTGTGATATGTGTGCCCGGCATCATGCCTACCCATACCCTAACCATCAGCAAATGACTGCCACCAAGGATTGACAACAAGTGGGTGGCTGTTAAGCCGCATGGTGGAACTGCTTTCACAGAGGATAAGAACCGGGAAAGAGCCAAGGCAACCTGCAAGTTCGAGTTTCTCCTTAGAGCATTTTCTGCATTGTGAATGTGCGCCGCGACTGCATGCGCTCATTAATAACCTTAGGCCTTCTGTCGTTTGAAGGGTCCTTGCCTGAGCCCTGTACATCCATCATAAGCCCGTGCACCTTGCCGGACCTTGCCGTTTCAGCACGCGCGCATGCGGCCTTTTTGGGCTTCTAGTTCCTGATGCCCATGATGCCGAAGCCGTCCGTAGCACGCACTGTTCTGGACCAGCGAAATTCAGCAACGTGGATAGAGGTAATTAACGTGCGCGCATCTCTTGACGCGTGGATGGCAGCGCATGGCTCGCATTGGCTCGCATCTATTCTTTGAATCTCTTTGTGTGAAGCATCTTGCGGTAGCAGGAGGCGGCAGAGTTAGCTCGACAGAAGCAGAAGAAGGCAGGTTGCTCCATCCAGCATTTTCAATCCATGTCAATCCATGCTTCGTTTGTACCAGGATGACTCCAGAGTGGAGTCTGCAGATGATTATGACGAAAAATGGTCCGAAAATTATCTTCAGGCCAAGCGATCCGCGATTGCTTTCACACATCCCTGTGGTGTGCATGTCGCAGGCGGCTGCGAATATGGGCGCCAACAGTGGTGAGGATTCGAAAGCTGACGGACAGCAGGCTTTGTCGTGCAGTGATCCAGCCGTGCTTTCAGATCGGGTTTGCAAGTGCAGGCCAACCCTATGGCAGCTATGGGGGCCCGGATCTTGTAACAATGGCGCTGAAGTGCAAACCTGTTCTCCACTTGCCTGGTTTTGTGCTGCTAAGGCAATGATGCAGATGATGGGAATGATGCAGATGATGGGAGGTGGCATGCCGGGGATGATGGGTGGAGGCATGATGAACCCAATGATGAACATGATGGGCGGAATGGGCAAAGGCGCGTGCCCAGCGTGCCCTTCTGGTTGTGGTTGTGGCTGCTGTGGCGGTTGTCCTGGATGTGGTTGTTGCCCCACCAGCTGTCCTGGCTGCTGTGGCTGCGGCGGCTGTCCTGCCTGCGGGCCTTCGGGGAGCTGTGGGGGTGGTGGCTGTGCTGAGCTGACGCCACCACCTGCGCCAACTCCAGAGGACGTCCAGTTGTGCAGTACCGGAGTTTTGGAAGGGCCGAGCTCAGCATTCAAGCGCATGCAGGAGACTGGAGAGACTAGTGGGTGCGGCCCCGTGAAAAACGAGAGCGGTGCGACAGAGCCGCTCAGATCCAATGGCAGCGGCCCTGGCACACGAATTTGCAGCCCATGGATTGATACCGAGGCGGCCCCAGCCGTACTGAAAGTGAACGCAGAGTAGTTGCACCTCTAGGCAGTGCACCTGCTTTGCAACGCAGTCGCATGCAGTCACGGCAAGCACTCGACGAGATGAGTGACATGATTTCAGCAAACAGGCACAACGGGCACGGGTGCATATTGCAGAAGATCCTCCACCCAGCCCGAACTGAGATGTAGAGCATGTCGTCACTTTGCCGGTTTGCATTTATGAAATACGCAGTTACATACATAGAGTATGTATATGTGTATATATATATATATATAAAAGAAATGTAGAGAGAGGAGACGTTCGTACATGCTGTATACTCTGTCGCGTGGCATCTGTCAAGCACCACTGGACGGTCCATTCGCTGTGAACCTGTGAAAGTAGCTCAACAAGTCACAGCACATGGGAAGTGAGAAACTGCGAGATCCAACCCAGTGACGCTCCGACTCGTGCAATTAGACGGGCCTGCTCTCGAGCCCAGACGAGTCGCTATTCGGTCTCACATCAAGCAAAAGTCGCTGTAAGTTGCATTGCCAGGCCTTGCAGTAGGATTCTGTAGGTCGCAGAGGCGCAAGAATCATGCAGGGGTGAGATATGCTGAGGTGGGGGGTCGTGACAGGGCGAGACACTGACACCGGCCGTTTGGCACGCATCAGTGCCACAAGCATTTAAACATGGCATATCTGAAGCTGTCGCAGTTGCCCGTCCCCATTCAACCATGACAGCGTGCGGCAGCCGATGGCTCCAGAATGAATCTGCCAAGGGCTGGAAGTAGTGCCTACTGGGATTCTGAAGCATGGAATCCCGATGACCGTGTGTACGTTGGTGCGTGCGAGGGGCAAAAGTGTCGGCCTCGGGCGAAGCTGGGTTTGTCGTTTTGTCATCATGGCCTGCGCAAGGCATCACCTCCGGGCAGTCGCTCCTGCCGCTTTCCCAGTCTGCTTGTCCACAGTAGGCTGCTGAGCGGCTGCGATCCTCCGTGCTTCAGGACACGAACGGGTATGCAGAATCTTCCCCCACTGACCAGGCCTCTGCCGCCTGTTTGCATGGTGAAATGACGCTCGGATTTCTTAGGCATGCGGCTTTGTTGCATCGCTGGACTCCACTGGACTTTTTTGGAGGTGTGATCATGTTGTAAATGCAGTCGGCTCTCATCAGATCAGCGATTCTAGACAGCTTAAGCTGCGTGACAGCAGCTAGCTAGCAGCTAGCGTTGCCACGCCCCCGCAATGCCCATCTAGCACTGCGTAATGGCTGCATTGCTAGGTCAGATCGCTATACGTACAGCGAAGCATCAGCCAGTCAGGGTCTTTCTAGCCACAGAGTGTCAATGTACTCATTGCGGGGCCACGACTTGATGTGCTTGACCGAGCTGCAACATCTCAGGAAAAGGAGTGGGGTATAGTTGGTGTATATTGGTGTCGTTAGAAAAGGAGAAAGAATGACACGGCAGTGACAACTGCCTCCGCTTCTGACAGCCGGGAATCTCAGTTGCGCAACTCGATGGCAAAGCGATCAACGGCAACAACCACAGTCGTAGAAGGTATCCTGCACCCTTCGGAGGGACGTCTGATGGCCAGCTAAGTCTTGTAGCTATGTGTTTACGCATGTTTACGCACATGAAACCAGAACACACGACAAGGCCCATTGAAGACTGGCTGTTCTAGGCAGCCTGGCAAACAAAGACCCAACAGACGATGGAGGCTCTGAGGACATTGTGTAGCATGAGCGGATCCAAACTATCACGGATCTTTCGCTCGGGATGAATTTGAGCATGTAACAGCCTTTTTCGATTTGTTCGCTGCAACATCTCGCTAATCTAGTTGGACAGGGTCCACCCGGCTTATCTACAACCGCTTGATGCAAGGGACGGAGGTCTCCCGCTTAGAGTTGGACACGGGAAGCAAAAGGAAAGGCCAGCACTGATTCAACATGCTGGCCCATGCTGGCCCATGCTGGCCCATGCTGGCCCCTCTCTGAAGTTGTGGGAGTAGCCATAGATAGCCATCGTGTTTCACGGCGTTTTTCGCAGGCTGTTGATCAGCATCGAGCTCTTCGCACCCAGAGCGGCAAGAGCGGTGACTACTGGGACTCGGCTGTTGAGGCGCGCAGAAAGTCATGGCGGCTCGATGGTTCATATGAGTAGGTAGAACCAAAAAGTCCCACGCAAAATTCGTGAACCCACTTAAGGAAGTGGCTCCTAAAGGGATGAACAGTCCGTCCGTAGCAGTGCAAAAGGTAATAAGGGTCCAATAAGGGGCAGGGGGTCCATGAACGGCGCACACAGAGGTCCCCACAGAACAGGGTTCGTACAGGGTGCGTTGCGGGTTTTATTGGAGGAGAGGTAGCGCGAAAGGTCCATTGTTGTTTGAAGTCAAACAAGGGGGTTCATCGGGCATCTGAAACACAGGCATTGAAAGTAGAGCTCCCTGGCCTGAAACGAGATTCGTGGCGCGCCTGATGCAACCTCTAGCGAAGAGTGAAGCTCAAAGGACGGACCTGAAGCCAGGTGTTTCACTTTATCATGTTCACGGAAAGTCCACACGCATCACGTGTAGTGGAGCGGAATGTGGCCTCAATATGCAGGCCAGTGAGTTGTGTGGGCAACTGAACCTGAGTGGGGCCTCCTGAAAACGAAAGGCAGAGAGGCCCCCCGCCAACAAATGTGCCTCAGAAGAGAAGCTAGGAATTATCAAGCGGGTAGCTCTACCAGAATGCGGCCTGAATACAGACAAAAGCAAGCCAGGAAGCCTCAGGCAGCAGTACCCGAAGGTGGCCGCTCCAAATTTATGTGGGTGCAATGAGCAGCAAGAATGCGGCCGGCAGCGGCGGACATGTGGGACGTTGGGTGCTGGATGGGTGCGGCAGGGATTCGGGTTCTCGGCAACGGACACGCGACCGCGGGATCGTCCGTCCGGATGCAAGATCCCATTCTCTCTGCCTTCACCCTTCGATTTCTTCACCATTCTACCACTATTCTACCCATGACAGCTACTCATACTCCGGGAAACAGTAGAAGGCCTGAGCCCTTCAACTTCGAATCAGATCGGCTGTTTGGTTGTGATTTGTTGTGATGTCCTGTGGATGGTCAGGCTGCAGATGCACCAGCGCCAGCGGTGGGGGTCGTGTGCCGAGCTTAGGATGGTTTGGCAGCAGCTTTTCAAACATGCACGTGTCACGAAAGCTAGCTCCTGTGGGAGCTGTCGTTTGCCAAGCTCTCTCTCTCTCTCTCTCTTTTTCCCCACCCTCGGTGTGGGGTTGTTAGATTTTAACTCAACTCTTCTCCTCGCCCGGAACTCTTCTCCAACCCCAAAGCGTCCCTGGAGTGTCCAACTCTAGAGTGTCGCTGGAGTGCCCAACCCCAGAGAACCTCAGAGGCCCCAGAGTCTCTTTAGGGTGCCCAACCGCAGAGTGTCCCCGCCCCAGAGTCTCGCACCCCAAGAGTCTCCTGGAGTGCCCAACCCCAGAGTCCCAACCCCAGAGGCCCAACCCCAGAGGCCCAACCCCAGAGTCTCTGTAGAGTGCCCAACCCCAGACTCTTGCTGGAGTGCCCAACCCCGGAGTGCCCAACCCCCAGAGTGCCCAGCCCCAGAGTGTTGCTGGAGTGCCCAACCCCAGAGTATCTCTACCAAGAGAGGGTGGGGATGTTCGAAGTAATAATTTCTCTCTCTCTATCCCTCTCTCTCTCTCTCTCTCTCTCTCTCTCTCTCTCTCTCTCTCTCTCTCTCTCTCTTTCTCTACTGTTTCAGGTCAAAATGCCACCGCAGGCCATACATACATGGTATGAAACGCAATTAACGGACGGGCTGCGAGGGGTAGCGGAGTCGCACGCCTCCAAGGCGGGCGCGGCGTATGCCCTCCGTGCAGGGATGCAGCTGCGTTCAAACTTTTACCTCCATTTAACAGTTGCACTGTCCGGCAGTGCTGAACATAGGGTGCCATGGACGCAGGCTAGGCAAAATTATGGTGGGGGCTGTGTTGGGCGCTGCGAGCGCACCTCACGCAGGGGCTGGCTGGCTGGATCAGGAGTGGTCGGTGCGGGGCAGGCAGATCCATGGACGGGCGCGGCAGGCTGTGATGGAACACGAGCGGCCGCCGCGGCCACGCCGGCCGGCGTGGTGGTACCACGCCGCACATACACACCGCCATGCACCAGCGGACGCCACCACTTCACACCCACCCGAAACACGCCACCCGCAGCACACCACCGCAACATGCCGCAACGAAGCACCCGCCACCGCCACCCACCGCCAACCACCTCCACGCACCACTACCGCGCACCACTGCAGCTCGACGGGCGGAGCCAATGCCAGGCAGTTGCCTGTTCGGGAGCTCCCTTAAGGTAAGGGCAAGCTCAACCGGGATTGAAAATTTGCATATTGAACTAAAGCGGGCTTCGCTCCAGGGGAGACACCCACTACCAGCAAGAGCCGAAAGTGAACCTAGGCTACTACCGGGAAGTGTACACCCGGGCTGAACCTTGGGAGCAGCTCTCCTGGTTCACACACACACACCACTGCCATGCACCACCGAGACACACCCCCACCCCACACACGTCAATGCCCCACACATTCCCCACACCACCACTCCACACAAACCACTACACACACGGTCCCTCCGCAACCTTGTCACCTCTGCGTGCATGCGCAGCAAAAACATGGCAATGCCAGTCTGCAGAAAACATGAAGCTAGTGACAGTAAGGTTGCTGATAATGAAGTTTTCAAGGACGTTGACGGAGTTATAAATCCTACCATGTGGGAAGCACAAGCTATAAAGAATCAAACCAATTTGAGACATGGAAGATGGGAAGTTTGTGCAGAAAATTTGCAAAGAATTTGTTTGATACTTGAAACTGTGGGAGAAAGATGCAAACTTGTTTTATCAACTCCTTGGCTTTTAGAACCAATGACAAGAAATGCATTAATGTTTCAAGCATGTGCTCCGACATAAGAGGATGGTGCATCATAATTCATAAATTGTGCCCTTTTGACGGAAGCTATGCACCCACAAAGGCTTTTCGCCTTGAACAAGACCGCATCAAATTCATTGCCCCTGCCACTTTCCCCCATTAGGCTCAGATTGCAGCACAGACCCCCTGCGCAGGCCCCTTCACACACGTGCCCATCATCATGCTCTCATGACTGGAGGCAGATCCGTTGTGAATGCACTCAGAATCAGAACATGCAACATCATTCGGTGGTGCCACAGTGTGGTGCCTGAGGAAACGTAGGCCGAGATGCAATGCAAGTACATAGCATGCGCAACTCATTTCTTCTTACAGTGTCACTGCCAGGGCCAAGCGATCTTCCAAATGCAGATGGTTCTGGGCGAGGGCCTTAGGACATGGTATATCAGTTTGAGCAGGTCACACTAAACAACTCAGAACATTGATTGAACAGGCCTCGGGAGAAGGAGTTTTTAGATTCCCGCAAGACACAACAATGTTTCAGCAGCCGTGGTTATCTCATAGACGGCAAACCTTCTGTACAATAGTAGGAAACCTGAAAGTGTCCTTGGTGCCCTCTATGCGAAGGTACTGGGATGGCTACCAAGGCGGTGGCACAAGTTCAGGCCCGGCAAAATCGAATTCGAATCTTCAGTTGCGCCCTGAGAATTCTGCATGCCACGCCGCTAAATCATTCACCACCCACGTAGACCAACTGTAGCCACTCGGTGTGCGCGCGGGTTTGAGGTTAAGTAAGGGTTCAGCATGGTTCGGCTGATCTGCCTCGCGCCAGCACCCGCCGAAATGGTTTGGCAGTCTTTCCTGGCATGCTTTCTTGGTATTCAATTAGAAGAACCCATCACTGAAACTGGCGTTGCACAGATGGCAGGCGCATCGCAGCGCCCTTTCCTTTCACAACTTCATGTCCAAGGATGCATTCATCAGAAACGCGCAAAACAGATGTGGCGATTGCATTAGTGTGTTGTGTGTCAAGTACCGAAACATCGGTGCCCGCCAGTGTTTTCGACACGTGCAACTGCCAAGTTTCGGACACATGGGAAACACAGATGAGTCTTAACAAATCACGCCGCTTGGAGCTTGCGGGAGTTTTTGTTCTGGGGGGGCTTGAACCCCCCCCCAACCCAAGGACCTACAGCTTATGTCGACATAGGCTCAAATTCATAGCAGAGGCCACAGGATGGGCTGCTCCTCGCCGGTCACTTGTGCCCTCGTCGATGCTTAAATCGTAGCAGGGTTGCCACGGTCCCGCACGTTCTGGAATATCGGGCTCCTGCCACAGTGCGGTTCTGATTTGGCACACAAGAGTTCTCCTCCACAGTTTGGCAGTTCGTGCTCCGCCACTGTGAGGTGCTGATTCAGAAAAAAAGGCCTCGCGCCAGTGCGCTTTTTTTTCAGAGCTCTTCTGTCCGTTCGTGCAGATCAGTGGCCCTAGTTTCGGGTTAACCCCCAGCCATTGTTGAGTCCGCCTTAATCTTAGATACCTCTGACCCCAACCCACCCCCCGTGAACGCAGTATGGTACTCTCTCAAGCCGTCCTCGTCCGGTCCCCCCCCACCCAGACCTTGTCTTCGGTAGTGGATGTGGTTCATTCAGCATTCACTCAACCGGGTTAGACCACGTTCTGAACCCGCTTTGCCACCCACCCACCTCCACCACAAACCATCTTGCCCCAGCCAGGCATGTTTTTCAGTGGATATGGTTCTGAGGCATTCAGTCGACCGTGCTATTGTCAACCCGCCCCCCACCCTCCCCGCCTCACCTGGTCACAAGTGACCCGGAAAAGCTGGCCGAAACACATGGTCACAACTGACAATGTTGCCAGTTATTGTAACCATACTTGTAATATCATACTAAAAATGAAATTTGAAGAGGTTCCTACTCATGCAAACTCAGAACGGTGCCTCGCGCAGTGCTGCAACAAGGTCCAAGACTTTGCCAGACGGTAAGGAGGCCGCTTCGAAACTGCAAGTTTGCTTGTTTTCTGGTGTCATTGACCTAACATCAGATTAACGCGGTATCGCAACTGGCCTGTTGGCCCCCGATGCAGGAGCAACAAAAGAGTGGTTGGAAGCGAATCAACAGTGGCGCGTATTGGGATGCAGAGCAATGGGATCCTGATCAGCGTGGTGAGCTCAGACGGGCGAATGTTGCCACGATGCAGAGCAGTCCTCGAGAGTTGTTTTTGCCAGGAGTGTATGTCGGCGCAGAAGCTGGGCTGAAGAACCACCTGCAGGCTTCATTTTAATTAGTTGGCTGTGGAACATGTTGAAAGCAGGGGTACTTGATGCGAGCAAACGGTGTTGCACGATGTAACGGAAACGATGGGGGGGGGCAAAGGGAAACTTGCAACAGACACCGGGCCTGGAAGCCGAAACGAAAAGGTGTAACACAAACCCCCGGCTGCAACAGAAACCATTGGGAACGTGAGAGCGGCAGCTTTGGGGGTGAGGGCGGGGGTGAGGGCGGGGGGGGAAGGGGGGGGGGAACAGAATGAAATGGAAACCATGACAGCCTGCCCCTTCGAATTACTTTACATTCCGTACCCCCTGCTTGCCCTGCTCTTTAACCCGAAGCTCTAAGTCTTAAAGTAGACTCCCCTTAATTAGAGGGTTTACTGCAAAGCTGTTGTATTGCTCATTGTAAGGAAGGATCGGTTTCTTGTTGTGGCTTCCTGGTTTTTGTGGCAACCCTGCTTGGTGCCCGTTGTGTGTTCTGGGCGACTTCTGTTCCAAGTCTCCGTGGTCTCGGACGGGGCCGGTTTCAGATGGTTTCAGGTACAGGTGTGCCCTGCTTTCTTCAGGCAGTCTTGACCCGACTCCAGCCTTGTTCCTCCTGCGCACATGCATAGCATGGGCATTTGTTTGCAGGTGGGGAATGCCTTCCGTCACAAGACAAAAATGACGCACTGGTTTCGGTGCTGCGACACTTCCCGCAAGTTTGTTTGCGGATGCAATGCAAGCATGCTGCCGAACCCTGCTGGATTTTCCGCAGATTCGCGCACGGGCTTCAGGACCCCCTCAGGGCAGTTCGCGCGACGTTAAATAAAACCACGAGTGCCGGGCGGGCTGGGAGGGGGGCGGCAGGGGGGGGGAGGACGCCCCTCTTCCTCTTGCGCGGAAACAGCACGATCGTGCGACCATTGTGTTTGCAAATGGCGGAAGAGTAGGAGCATTGTGTTTGCAAACGGTTCCCGAAACTTCTCTCTTGTCTATGATGGGGTGCTACACAAGAAGAAGGATCATTTTCAAGGTGCGAACAAGCACCCAAGACAGTGTCATTTTGGAACGCGCGAACGCAAAAAGTGTCATTTTGGAACACGCCCTAATTGAACGGTCTCAAAAGTGATACCCGGAAAAAGGGGTCATTTTGGAACGCGCGCTTTACAAGGTCTCAAAACCTAGGCGCGGTGCTTGTCTCCTTGTGTTCCAAAATGATCCAAAATGATGCTTTCCTGTGTTCCAAATTGATGCTTTCCTGTGTTCTGAATTGGCCTTTTCCCAAGGACGGAGAACTAGTTTCCGGGCAACCCAAGGGAGGCGAAGGAAGGTGCATCATTGTTGCTTGAGCTAGAAGAGGCGAGCACCAGGGGCCCATCGTTTCTCGTCGTGGGGCGCATAGCATTGAGCGCGGCAGGCGGTCACTCGAAAATGTTCAGGTCGTGCAACGCCTCGAGGACCGTGGCTGATCAGATGCGTCCACCCATCCACATCGGTCACATCGGTCACAAGTTGTGGAAGAAGAGGATATGACATGACTAGCACAATCTAGCACATGTTCGCATCGTGGAGCAGCTGAAGAATGAACAGTTTCAGTGCAACCTGAAGCGAGACCAGCTGGCTAAGCGAGTTGTGCCGTCGCTTCTGCAGGCTGTTGATCCATCCAACGACGCGGCTGATATTTGGCGAGTGTGGGCCGTGGCCTCATTTGCATAAGTCATGAGATCGCACATTCCCCGTAAGCATGACCTGCGCTACCTACCTGCGGCAAGCTCATGCGAGGCAGGTGGCTTGACAAGTGTGGTTTTGGGCTGCAGTGAAGCAGCTGGACCGCCGACTCTTGGCAGATTGTCGGCCCTGCAGCCTTGCGACACAACCTGGAGAGCCCCACAGCGAGATGATGCGATTGTCTTCAGATGTCATACCCTTTTGGCCTGTGACTGTAGATTTCAAGACCACGGAGTGAAACTGTCGAACATCACATTCTCATTCAGCTGGAACAGACGAATCGAAGCTGAACAGTATTAGTGACCGGAGCCAGCCAGCATGGTGTGCATCCGCCTCCTACGACCTCTTAGGTGCTTGTGCCTTTCAGTGTTTCGACACACGCATCATGCTATCGCAATTGGCAGGTCTTCACCATCACAGCTGCCTACGCACATGAGCAGAAAATACGCCGGCTGTTTCTGGCTCAAGCATGCGGTGTATCCTGTGAAGCTTGCAAAGCGAGCAATTTGTAGCAGTTCACATGGCTAGTGGCAAAGCTCATGCAGATGAGCCAAGCTTGTGGAATGAGAATGACGACAGTGCAAAAATTGGAAGGCTGTTCGCGCAGATGAAGATCAGATGGGACACATTCCTCGCAGAAAAGCTTGGCCGCAAGGATCAGCTCTCACATGAAAGCCAAAAAATGAAAGAAATTGCGGCAATCATGAGGACGTTCGACAATGGCGTGGTAGAGGAGGAAGAAGAGCAAGACAAGATTTGGGTGGACAGCGCGGCCTTCGACATAGTCATTAGCTGCATCATCGTTTTGAATGCCTTCATCATTGGCCTTGAAACAGATGTGAGACGAGATTCGAGGGAAAGAGATGCCAGCTGGATTGTGGCCGAGGTTTTCTTTCTGCTCTGCTTCTTGGGTGAAGTTGGCCTCAAGATGTACTACCACACTTGGCGCTGGGCGTTCTACAGCTTCTCCAACATGCTGACCATCTTTATCTGCTTCATGGCCTTCATTGACTGCACGATCTTGAACCCCATAGGGGTGTCCGGTGTGCTTCGCATGTTCTCAATGTTCCGAATCGTGGGCATCTCACGCCTTTACAAGTTGATCAAGAGGTACCGGCGCTTGGATGAACTCCGGCTCCTCTTGCAGAGTCTAAAGGACTCAATGCAAACTCTCTTCTGGACTGTGGTTCTCCTGGTGGTGGTCCTCTACATTGCCGCTGTAATCCTTACGCAGCAGATCGGGCACAACGTCGAAGTGTACGGGAACTACCGGAAGCTCAGCGGTGGTTGGGATCATGAGGAGTTGTTTGGAACAGTGGGGCGAAGCATGTTCACTTTGATGCAAGTGATGACGCTCGACAGCTGGCTCAGCAAGGCAGGTTTCTTCAAGTGCCATCACACCCCACATTCCCCCAACATAGCAGTTCCATGCAGTTCCTAGCGCCACGGAAACATTGAGAAAGCAAGCTGCAGAACAGCATGTGCCGGCACTCGCCTTCGGGGCTTCATCTCTCTCTCTCTCACGCGCTCACTCGCTCACTCACTCACTCACTCTCTCTCTCTCTCTCGCTCTCTCTCTCTCTCTTTTTCTCTTTTTCTCTTTTTCTCTTTTTCTCTTTTTCTCTTTTTCTCTTTTTATCTTTTTCTCTTTTTCCTTCTTACTTGACACGAGTATACTCCGAGGGCGGCATTCTGTCCCGCAAGTCAGCCGGGCCATCCGGTTCAGGAGTTGTGAACTAGCTGCTTCGTAAGCATGCTGGCCGGTGCGTCGGGGTCCTCAGAGTGTCGAATACAAGCCTACTGGTACTCGCATTGACAACTCGACCCCCTGCGCTGGAATTGGAAGGCGTGAATGCGTAGCCAAACGAACGCACCAAAGCTTAGCATTCAAGGGGTCGGGAATACCAAAAGACAAACAGGAACCGAAACGAAACAAAGCCACGAGCACTGGCAGCACTGAATAACAAACGAAGCAGTACAGGAATAACATACACACGCACGCACGCACACACACAACCGTCTCTCGGGGGTATCCTTGAGCTTGTGCTGCACTAACATCCACAGCTTCTTCGCTGACATGAGTATCGTGTCGATGTCCGCAGCCGCCGTCGTATCGAACAGATCATTTGCACAGCTAAACACTGGACAATTAACATTTTTGTGTAGCTGGCTCAATATGATCTGCAACTACACCGCTTGCACTGGTCTGACGAACCCTGATTTCTGGCAGGTGGTGCGACATGTCGCCGTGAACCAATGGTACATGATTGCATTCTTTTGCGTTTTTCTTTTGGTCACGACGTTTGGTATCATGAACATCCTGGTGAGTGTCATTGTGGAGCAGACGTTGGCAGCTTCACTTCAGAACAAGCAGCGTCTGCGAGTTCGCGAGGAGAAAGCTCAGCGTGCGGAGTTAGACAGCATCAAGGAGATCTTCTTGATCTCAGATACAGATGGAAGCAACAGCCTTGACCGAGATGAATTTCTTGCAGCCGTGAAAAACCCAGAGGTGCAGTGGCGAATGAAGATGCTCGAGCTGCCAGTTGCCGAAACTGTCAAACTATTTGGGGTACTAGATGGCGACGGTTCGCAAACACTCAGCTACACTGACTTCATTCAGGGCTGCGCGAAGCTCAAAGGTCATGCGATGAGCAAAGACATGCTGGCAGTCATGGCGCAGGCTGGATTTGTTGTGGGTTCAATTTAATGTAGTTGGTTTCAGTAGCCCAGCAACAGCACACAGTAGCAACATGTTGGCAACGTGATACAAGATATAGGGAGAGCCGGAGACTGTCGGAGAGCCTTCCTGAGGCGGATGCTCTTGCAACGAAGATGGACTTGATGGACGATTCACTTGCCGAGAGTGAGCGAATGGTTGCCGGACTGGACGAGATCTCGTTGAGAATTGTTCGACGCTTCGAGTCTGCAGTCGTGGGTTCTCGACGCCGCATGGCCCATGCGGCTGGAGGCTCCAAGCCCATCGTTCCACCGAAGCGCGACGGTCCTGGAGGCGACAATGTCCCGCTTTCTGTCGGGAACCGTCCCAACTTGCCACCTTTTCCAGATCTGCTCAAATGATGATGCGACGACGATGTCTCACCAGAACTATAGCCTGCCACCCTTTCAAAGTTCGCCGGTCGATTGCAATCCTTTCTTATGGTGGGTGATCTGTTTGTGGTGTGCTTTGGCTAAGCCATTCGCCACCGAGCAGTTCAATTCGCTGGAATTCAGAGGCCAGAGACGTACTGTATTGTCCGCACACCTTGTAAAAGCAGTGGCCTGCTGCAGAATAGTTCACTTCACACCTGCATCCAATGCTCGTCATGTGTGGAAATGCGCCGTGCCCGTGAGCGTTCTGACCAGGTGCCAGGTGCCGAAATGCCTCCGGTGGGCCACAGCTGCCAATGCTGATGAAATTGCCACAACATCGGCAGGACGGCAAGAATCGGCAAGAAAAAGTTGCTTTTTTTGTGCCTGATGTGCCGGCGGGCCAGTGTGATTTGTGCAGTTGTCCCTTGCCATTGAGCAAGATAAGCAAGATAAGCGCGGAGGAAGCACCCGCACAATGCCAGCTGACATTGTCACATGTACTTGTGCCTACGCTACTGAGCTCTCTGAGGATTGACTTGAAGATGCGGGATCCGAATGACAAGACGAAGCTGCAGGCTTGCTTCAGTTGAGTATGAGTATCTTATTACATTCTACGTGCAGACCCCACTCAATTGCATTCGCTTGCTGAAGGACTTGTACGAGCTCCTTGACGAGCCCCTGTTCTTGAAAGGTGTCCCTTTTGTGCTGTTGAGTCAGATCCGTTCGAATGAAACTTGACCTCGCTCACCGCCAATGTAGCTTCTTGCGAAGGGAGCGGCTTTCGGGATTTGTGCCCCAATGCATCAGCGTCAGCAGCTATCCTCGTCAGAAGTGCCCATGACCGCTGAGGTCTGTTGGTTCTGGCAGCTTTGGCATTGTGAGACGGTGTAAGCACAGAGGCCAGGACGCATACCTCACCAGCTCTGCATTTGTTTGCAAGCAACATAAGATTGAGTGTCGGGGCAGTTGCTTCACATGCTGGTACGCTTTAGATTTTGTGGAGCTACCCTACGGGTTGCATACAAATAGGACGAAAGCATGTATTCGACTTGTCACCAGGCACAGGTTTGGAGTGTGTGATCAAGACAGTTCGAAAAGATGCAGCAGGAGAACGGCGTCTGAGCAGATACTACTTGGGGAAATCATACCGGCAGCATACGCGGATTAGCTTTGCGTGAGATGGGCGGAATTCGTGTATTCCTGTATCCCCTTCAGAGCCAAGCAAGGTATCGGGCACTCCTCGTCGACCGGTGTTTGGGTGAGAAGTTGCTTCGCATGTCCAAGGAGGACGGGTTGAGCAGATTGAAGCTGATGGTGACATGAATTTGCCAACTGCGTTCTTCGTAGGCAAAACACCCCAACATTGCAGTGTACCTCGACATGCTGGAGGGTGCCAAGAACTTCTACGTCATCATGGAGGCTCGAATTCGGTATGTTCCAACACAGTAAACATGTGATGGCACTAGCCTGAAGAACAGAGTACTGTTAGAGTCACCCGAACAAGAAGAGTACGGAGTAGTGTCGGATGCCGCAAAACATGTCACATCTCTTCGCATGAGATGTCTTGCACATAAGTCCGTTTTTATATTCGAATTAGTTCAATTAGTTCATTCTTGTATGATTGTTCACGCCCATGTGTTGTGCCATGTGTTGTTGCTCGGCTATGCTCAGCACATTCTTTTTGAAAGAGCAGCTAATTCTACGACCACACTGGTCGCTCTTGTGTCCAGGAGTTGACTGGTGCCGAACTGATGGATCAAGTGGAGGATTTGAGTTCTCGTAGCATTTGACCCTGTGTTGTTGCTTCATGATTCGGTTACAGGAGCTGTTTCCGATGACAGAGGCGGCCATATATATATATATATATATGCGCTCGACTTGAACCAGATTGTGAGCATGTGACAAACAAAACACTTCAAATCAACTCCAAGTGCGAGGCCTACCTGCAACATGTCATGATCGAGATTCTGCAAGCATTAGCGCCCAACTCCTGCACAAAGAAGCCGACTTGCATCATGGCCAGATGTTGCTATACAGTTCGCCTTCATCTGCATGAATACTAGGCATCTTCATCGTGTCGTGGGCTTGCTTCACAGAGATGTCCAGCACCCAGGCTTAGCATGCTTGGCTTTTTTTTTTTCGTTCCGCAGCTCTTGCACCGAGAAGACGGGGAATGAGTAGGGGCAGCTACACGACTCAGGGATTCGTGTGTAGTCCTGCTGCCGAGTTGCTGCAGTGTCAGTCCAGGTAGACGCTGGAGCGAAGGGGTTTCGTGTCTCTGTGGTTCCTGTTGGCATCTTTCGCAAATCACACCAGCCAAGCTCTGAAGGAGTCCACGTGCCCGTTGCTTGAGGCGTGCCTCCCTCAAATCTCCACCTTGTCCTGGACCGTAGGGGCGCGCAGGCTCTTTCTAAAGATGGCCCGAAAGCTTTCGTTTCGGGCAAAGTGGCAGATCACTCACGGAGCCCAAAGACGATGCGCCAAACCGTGCTGCATGCCGCGCGATTGGTATTTCTTCGTGAGCTGTGCGTCAATCAAATCTGGGGACCGAGAATGGGCAATGCACCTCGAGGCCCGAGTCAGTCAGCAAGCGCAGTTCACAGAGGCTCCTAACGGACGTAAACGCTGAATGTGGTCTTGGGGACCTCTGGACAGACGTGGCAACTCTGCACCCTGCTTACGTCAGCCGATGGGTCCAGCAGTTCGACAGCGGCTCGACCGGGCAGAGCATTCCTCGCGTTGACGAAGCACATGAGAGTTGAAGATGTTCCAACACTGAAGGTCAAGCTCTCCAATTTCCGTTTTCGAAGCAAGGTGCATATGTCCTCACGAGGATAGCTGGAAGGTTCCCCTAGATTCGTCGTTTTTGCAGGCTGAAGACTCTCGCCTTGCGTTGCTCGACTTTGGCTTCGCAATGAGCGTGGGTGCCAGCCACAGCTGCGCACGGCCTTTGACCTTTGGCAGCCATGTTCTGGCAGCCTTAATGAATTTTGAACCTCAGGTGAGGAGTGGGATGGCGCAGTCTGTGGGACCCTGATGTTCATGGCACCAGAGGCTGCGATGCTCGGGGTGTTTGCACCTGCAGACTTCCAGGCGCACCCAGGCGCTGAAATCACACATGCAAAAGTGCTGCAACAGGTTGTAGGCGCCAAAGCTGCAGCACCTCACCTGGCTGCCATGGACCTGTGGGCCGCGCCTCGTCTGATGTCAGATGTTTGCCTCAGT